AATTTTACGGAGCTTTTTTGTTATAATTGAAGAACAATTTTGAATAATTGGAAATCATCTGTTCTGTGTTGAACTAATCTACACTTACTGGAAATCTATAAAGTTGCGTTCTGTCACTCACAATATGCTTGTTGTTGGCAGTTTCTTCTGAAAATTAGACTCGAATTTCAATCATTTTTCAAAACGGTAGAAGTCACAGGTTACAGAAACTCATATTGATACACGAGAAACTACTGCGGTATTAGATACAGGAACGGTGTACAACTTTCATGTAAGTCATGGGATCACGGTTGTCACATCTGAATGATTAAATCCAAGAGTACATAGAGTGTAAGTCAAATGCAGTTCGACTATGAACGTCATCTACGGTTGGCGTTTTGTTTCGTAATTTTTGTTTAAGAATTACGACATGGTGTTACTACTACGCTACAATAACGTTCCAAAGAAAAGTATATTTTCTACCTTCGTTGTTTTCCACTGTTTTAAGATAGGAGAATTGTTGTTTGAGTAACATGTTCCCCATTCTTATTTTTGAAGCGTGCTTGTCGTATTCAGACTCGTATATATTTTTATACATAGCAGTGTCTCCTCGTTTAATTCCTTCTATCAGAGCTTCGTGGACAAATTGTAGTTGAGACTGAAAATAAATTTATAAGGAAAACATAATATGAACAGCAACCAAGGCGTTTAGACGTTAGCTCCTTCCAACTCAAAATTATCAATTAACTTGGCGTAGACTAGAACCAAAGGTGGACCACATGGGACCCTTTTATTTGAGTTGACTATTTTTAGCACATAGAAAAAGCGAAAGCACATTCTTCTGCCCATCGTCTAGATTGTAAAACTTTTCATGATGTTTTTTCTCGCATGGGCAAGTCGTAGTATATCATGTTTTTCTGATGGACATGTATCATATCAATAGATTACTGAAGACAAAACTGTATAAATCAAACACAACGCATATACTTGCAGTAATTGGTATCCATATCAAAGGATTAAATTGGATAACATTCTCAAAGTTTTTGTCATTTCGGTTTAATAGCTTTTGTTGCTTGATGCAATTTACGGGCAATAAATTTGTTTGCGAACTATTACTTATGACACAAAACTTACTGGAGTTTGGATCATTCCTTTTCTCTGTTGTCGAAGAGTTTTAACACATTCTAATACATCCACCTTCCCAATATCTTTGTACTGTTTTAAACAGTAGTCTATAGCTATATATGTACCAGTTCTACCAACACCAGCACTGCATTGGAAATGAAATTTATTTTATTTACACCTAGTCATGATAGGAACTCACCTGCATCCGAACCTTCAATTATGAGCATCTTGTCAAAAGCATGTACTATCACGTGATACTAAAATATTGAAAGAATCTCAAATGAACTGTGCTCAAATCAAGGTTGATCCTTTTCCAAATTTTTAATGACAGTCTCGAAAAAAATATAAAAATTCTGCAATGTGTAACAAAGAACTTGTTACATCGCAAAACTGGTAAAAAAGGACGACAATTTACTTCATCCATTACCAAGAACTTTGGTAAAAAAAACCTTTGAAGATTTGACACATATCTAAACCATGACAACTTAGTGTCCCAAGTCCAGATGATCGCTGGCATCTTCACCATTCAAACTTAAAATAATGATATACCCACCTACAATGAACTAGTACAGGACTTTTAGATTCTGGTTTAAATTTATCAACTGTAAACTGGAAATCTAACATATCATTGATCTCAGGTACATCATGATCTGGCCAACTGGTGAAATGGAAGTGACAGAACTTGTGTGTCATCCCATCCTACAATGAAAAATGTACAAAATGAAATTCGACAATTTCACGATGAGAGATAAGAAATCAAAACCACCAGATTGTTCCAATTCCAATTTTTAAATAAAGTATCAGTACCAACAAAGGCCTGACCAAGCATCCGTTGCACGAAATCAACATAATTCATTGCAACTAAATCAGTTTTGTTTTCATTTCCTATGGCTCATCTGAGACTGGCTTTTCTGGTGACATGGGTACTGTACCTACCCTTTCCATTATAATATATCGTTTAGTATAATTCTCTCGGTAAATCTCCTCTTTTGATGTAAGCTTGATTACACCAAATGTCTCCGAGGATCCTACGGCCGATGGCCAGTACCGTTCACATTTTCTCTGAAAAGTGTCATATAATATATCAAAGTTTCGCCGGGGGGTTGTTTGGATTTCGTTTTGCGGTTCGAATCGTCAGTGCTTTGTATATTTATTTACATGAATAATATAAGAACACTATCATAACATGTGTTAACACACTTTGAAGGAAGCATTAATTCCTTCTGTTGACATCTGGCTGTCATCCGTTACCACCTTGATAAATTTAAGAATTCTCACGGTCTTTGGCAGCTTGTGGAAATTTATTACAGATTGCGATTTGGAACGGTTTTGTATTTTTTCTCGTGGTCGTCAATAAATGATTCCAATTAATAAAATACTCTACCTTTCCATCTTCAAATTCTCTGGTAACCATGACAACCTTATCACATTTCATATACCAGATCATTCTTACGAAATCATTCCGAGTTGCTCGAGTTGCGCCTGTATAAAATACCGAATTATTTTAAATAATAACTAGTGCCCCATATGTACGTTACCACTCTTCTGTTGGATTTCTCAATTTGATATTTGACATGGTAAATGTGTTACAAGTTCTTCCTAAATAA